TTACATAAAATATTTTAAATATTCATAGTAATAATAAAATATATTTGTAATAAATAAATCTTTGATTATTTATTTATAAATTACTGTCTCCCTCTCTCTAGATTTCTATAATTATTGTAATAATAACACATCCGTATTACATACATCTGTATGTATATGCAGGGCCTAAAACTAACTTTTTGCTACACCTGCCAATGGCTGGCGACGTGATAAAATTTACCGGCCCAAAAATTTTTTTGCCAGCCATGAAACTCTTTTTGCAAAAACAGGCAGTCATTACTACTACATTACTACTATGACAACATATTTACAATGTTTTTAATTTGTCCTTTACTTTACTTATCATTCTGACAGCACCCATTAATTGCAGAGGATACTTTGGTAAGCAAGTGATGTAATGCTAAATTTCTTCATATTTTCAGTAGATATCTTCATTTTTGGATGAACTATTCCATATATCAGCTGATTTATTATTGTGGCATTTTCCTTTTCAAATAAACCTGGCCTGAATGGCATGTAAAAGTAAATACTTTACATCTTGGTCAGGTCATTTCTTTTTGGCCAGAATAAATTGCAATGAGAATCAATGCATGTGAAAATCTGGATATGTGAGACCAGGGCCTAAAACTAACTTTTTGCCACACCTGCCAATGGCCGGTGATGTGATAAAAAATTTTTTACCGGCCATGAAACAATTTTTGCAAAAACAGGCAGTTATTACTACTACAATGACTAAACATACTTACAATGTTTTTAATTTGTCCTTTACTTTACTTACAAGAAAAAACAACAACAAACAGATTTATTGATTCATCTTTTTCTTGATGTTGTTGTCCCTAAAAAAACATTGAGATTCTTGTCCTTTGCATGTTTTCGGCAAACGGAGCAGGCCATCATGTTACGCCTGTTTCACACATACTCTGTTTGCAGTGCGTATGTGGTGCGTATTACATAAAGATAGTATATTTTAAATATGCTTTTAATGGCATCTTTTTACTAAGTAGCCTATTATTAATGAAGTATTGATACCAATACTGCTACTGGTGTCTCTATTAAATGCATTTTCCCTCAATTTTCACTATTAATTATAGCCATTCAACATTACAGTACAATTGATTGCCATTATTTTTAACATTTAATAGGCTCTGAAATATATAACAACTTTTAATTTAAGTGATTTTAAAACAATCTTCACATAAACTATATTATTCAAGCTATAAAAGTTAATCAGCGACTAGAACAGTCCAAGGATTTCTCTTTTTCTTTTGTTCTTTGATTTACATCAATGACAGACTTCAGCAGGTTTTACTTTAAAAGCAGCGCTGTCTCTTTAAAACCTGATGCACATGACGCAGATCTGACACATATCCTATTTTCTCCAAACTCTTTACGGTAATTTAAGACTTTACAACTCATTTAAGACTACGTTTACGAGGTAACTCGCCAAAACCGCGTATTTTGACATAATTGTGTGTTTTCTCGTCCATTGAAGCACTACTGGTGCGCTGTCTAAAGCGGCTCAGCGTCTGTGTACAGCCGAACGAGCAACCTTTCAAACTATACTTCACTGCACCGTTTAGGCGGCGTAACCCCAGGTATGTGTCGCCACATTCTCGGGTTATGAAGAATAAAGAAGGGAAAAGTTAATCTTCCGAAATGAAGCAGCAATAACTTCTCAGGTAAACGTTATTAAAACTGTGTCTAGGGACAAGCTGGCCATCACACTGCTCTGACCTTATCAGCCCATTTGTATCCTATTATTTGATTTGCTCTTGTCTCTTACGACAGAACAGCTAATCACGATGATCTTGTCTTCGGAAAAGATTATTTTATTCGCTTACGTCAGAAACAGTGAATCTCTTTAAAAATTGCCTGTTGTTCTCACTACATTGCATTGTTATATTTCGTAAAAGTTTTACCCGCCAACTGGAGACTGACACTATTACATATACTCGCCAATGCCGATTTTTACTCGCATTTGGCGCTTGGCGAGTGTTCATTTTAGGCCCTGCGTATATGTATATGAATGTGTGTGTGTATATATATATCAGGGTTGTGACGGTGGCAGATTTTTACCACCGCGGTGGTAATGGACCAATATATGTGTGTGTGTGTGTGTGTGTGTGTATATATATATATACACACACACACAGACACACACACACATATATATATATATATATATATATATATATATATGGTCACAGTGACTCTGCCAATTAAGACATCTCTTGATAATCACTACTACCTGTGCTGGACATTTCAGTTGGAATATCTGTCTAAGATAAGGGTGAATTATGAACAGGGAAAGACAGGACTCACCGGATACAAGCCACTGTCCGCTGGGAGAAATGCTGATGCTTCGGACCAGACTAGAGTGTCCACGGTACACCTGTCAGAGACACAAACACCAGCAACATCAACACAACATGCAGAAACAGCAGAGAAGAAAAGCAGACAGCGAGAGATCATTCAAGGACAAGTTCGGGACTCTATTATTTCACATTAGTCCATTAGTCTAAATATTAGACCAAACATATTTAGTAGATTTATTAACATTTTTGTTCTTCTTTAACCCAGTCCAAAAGAATGACAGACCAACCCTGTTACATGTCTGCAGTTTTACAGCCCCAGTCTACAATTTCAAAAACAAAAATATTGTCCTTCTGATCTTTTTCACCCACGCGGTACAGTAAGTAACGGTTTCCTGTCTCAATAAAATCAGAGCTCACTGTCCTGCCATTATAAAGTCTAGGCCAGAAATATCACGAGTATCTGATCTACAAGCTGCTCCTCTGACTGTCATCATACCAATCAGGCTGTTAACATGATTCCAGACCAGTTTAAGATGACGTACCAGAGACTGGGTGGTTGGGAAGGGCTGCAGGTCTTTGGGTTTGGGAAGTTTGGGAATCAGGTCTTCTGGGTTCACATTCACCTGGATGAAATCAGGACAACATTCTTGTTAATTTGAAGACAAGCTTTTGCAATGCATTTAACTTCTGTAACGTCATATGCTACTAGATGAAGGCTTGGTTTTATTATTTGCTTTAATGCTTTAAAAACCAGTTACAATATAATATTTAAAAATATATTTTTTTTTGTATAAAACTTTTACTAAGTAATTATATATATATTTACATAATATATGTGTGTATTGTGTATATTTAGTATGTATATATAAATACACACACATACAGCATATATTTTGAAAATATTTACATGTATTTACATGCATACCATATATAAATATATTTCATATATAAACGTAACATATTTTTCTTAAATATATACATGCATGTGTGTGTATTTATATAGACATAATAAATATACACAGTGACAGTCCACACATATATTATGTAAACAAAAACGAAAACTTTTATTTTGGATGAGATTAATCATGATTAATCGTTTGACAGCGTTTGCTCATATATAGAAATAGCATTTTTATATAATGAATTATGCTCAATGATATCTTTATGATAATAGTAATTGTATTATTATAATAATTTATTATACTATTTCTTCTTTAATGTATATTAAATAATTGTGAATGATGTAATAACACTCATTAATATTACTTTTACTAAATAAAATAATTGACATTTTTATATGTATATGAAAAATAATGTCATTTATGATTTTATTTAATAATTTTTTCTTTAATGTGATTTGTCATCACATTGCTGTCTTATTGCCAGTAAATTGCTAATCAACTACAACAACTAAATCCAGACATACATATCAAATCCCATGTTTATTTGAAGAACCAAATTAACCTGACAGGAATTAACTGAAGATATCCACCTTATTTTTTCCTGTAAGAGCTGCCGCAGCCATTTGTGCATTTAATGTGTCTGGCTTCCAGTGTCATCCGCTTCCAGCTATTTTTAACTGTACAAAACAGCTTGTTTTGCTGCTTGATATTTCAAACTGGTGTGTCTTACCATATTATTTTAATGTATTATCTTAATTATGAACACACTGGTTTGAAAGTGCAAACAGTTTTATCGTTTATTGCACTTTATTATTCTTCTTGTTATTTCCCTACAGCAGATAATGAACAGGAAGTCTCACACATTGACCGAAAACGGCTTACTTTTGCATTGAAAAATAAGGTGGATATAATTGTGAGTTTTTTTTTTTTATTGGTGATTCTGCAATTCATAATTCTGCTTGGTGACATACAGAAAAGCCATCTTCATCTTTAAGTATTGCCTGTACAGTTTATTTGTACAGAACCGGATGCAGAGGTCTCTCACCCTCATCTTGCGCTGCCGGGGACACAGGTACAGGTCGAGGCAGCGCTCGAACTGCTCGTGAATGAAGCGCGAGTATGCGGGAACGGCCCGCAGGCAGGCAAACTTCTGCGGCAGGAAACTCAGCTTCCTGTACTCGGGGTCCTGCTGCTCCCATGCCAGTCTCTGAACAAACACACACACACACAACAAAGAGCAAACGTTATGAGAACTCTGACAAAGCCGGTCTAAAGAACAGGTGCAGGCAAAATTGGGGGCAAAATTTGGTTGTATTTAAAGATTAACTTGCAGAGGGGATGCACGTGTTCACACAGAGTTAACTATAGCATGTAAAACATACGCAAATGACTTATAGGCAAATCGTACAGGCCTAATGGAGCTGGAGGCACAGGTGTGAAATGATGTGAGCGTTTAGCCAGTGACATTTTAAAGGAAGAGTTCACTCAGAATGAATCTGCCTTTATTTACTCACACTCATGTCTGAATACACTGAATACATGCTGCTTTTTAAGTTCATAGAGACCAGAGCTCAACATAAAAACAGTGCATATAACGATTCCATATCTCCTCAATTAATGTTATAGATTGTGTGAAGTCCAAAATTTAAAGGGGTCATATGATGCTTTTTTAAAGATCATTATTTTGCAACTTCAGGGATCTTATCTATGCACAATCAGCTTGTAACACTCCAAAGAGAAAGGAAAACTTGAAATCGCATCATATGACCCCTTTAAATCATTATTCGCGGAATATTCACTTTGTGTGCTTTTTAATGTGCATCAGAGATGCGTGTTATTAAATATTCTTATCTAGAACTACATTTTAATTAAATATTTATTCAGTGTAAATGAAATAATAGTTTAACATGAATAAATATTAAAATTAATTATTATTTTAATTATAATTATTAGTTATAAATTATTTTGTATATATTTAAAATATATATTTTTTTATTTATAATAAAATGAATACAATTTGTTTTTGGATTTAATTAATTAATTTAGCATATGTGGATTAAACAGATGGAGTGAAACAAAGGCAGCATAAATTAAATTAATAAATACTAAATAATTTAAATTCATTAATAAATATCAATACATTTTTTTAAATAAAGTTTTAAGTTTTAAAATATTATTTAAAATCTTTTTTTATTAAATATATTTTAATTAAATATTTGTTCTTGGACAATAACATCATTAATCCAGCATATGCACAGTGAAACAGAGAGAATTATTTTAGTTATAATAATTATAATTTTTTTTTTAATATTTTAATTTTAGATTTAAAAATAGTTATGAACATTTCAATTAAACATTTGTTATTGCACAATAAATTTTGCTCCAAATTGACCATATTTAAATTAAATCCCACATTTAATGCAAGTAGAATTTTACTATATACAGTATACTGTAATTACTATACTATACTCTTGAGTGTTAGAAAGTGGTATAAATATAACAAATTTCTTATATTACCAGATTTTAAAAACATTAATTTGACTACTTGTTAACATGTTATTAATTTATTTAATTGAAGATAAATCAACATATTTATTGATTACAAAAACAGAAATGTTAAAAAAGTTGCTTTTAGACCAGGTTCAATGTCACTGTATGCATTTTATGTTTTTTTTTGTTTTTTTTTAAGTTGCAGCATGGAAAAGCTCTGCATAAAAAATGACAGCATGTGTGACATGAGAATGAGTAAATAATGACATTTTGACAGGTGAACGCACCTCTTCCTCTGACAGCAGGTATTCTGGAGGAGGGTTGTAAGACTCCTCATGACCAGGAAGCTTCATCTTGGGTGCTGGGACGTGCATTTTGTGGCGTCCCAGGATGCTGTTGGGGTCCTCCTTGGCCCACAGGTCGTAGTATTGCGGGGTGGTTTCTTTGGGTCTGCGTGGTTTGATCCAACCCATTTTTATGGCATGGACCAACTTCCCGACCTAAGAGAGAGAGATGGATGCAGTGACGGTACAGCAGAGAGAAAAACACACACAGTAACACATCATTGTCATGATTGAGAGCACATGTGTTCGATCATTACTCAAAACACTCGCTGCACACGTCGCCAGTTTACTGCATTAAACACATTGTATATAGTGACCGGAATCAGCCGGAATATCTCATTTTTTTTACTGAAACGTTTGCAGGTCTGATTTCTTTCAGTGTTCTGTTTCAGATCCCCATTATGCCGGCGTTTTAGACCTCTTTCCACTTTAAAAACTATGTGGGAATCATTATTTGTAACGCAGCACAGCTGGGAGCAGTTAGGAGACGAAACATGACTATTCTCATGCCGTTTCCTGATTCACAGTAAATATACACTTTATAAACGTAAGGTGTGACAAGGACAGATGAACTTGCCTTCTCTTTCTCGATAAGCGAAGGAATAAAGCTCCGCTTGTCCTGTGGTCTGTTGGTGACGGGGTGAATCATCACTTCATTGGAGAAGAAGTCAATCGCAGGCTAGACAAAATGGAGAGACACAATTAAGCATTAATGCAAAGTAAGATCAAGATGATCAATGACATCATATCATTATTACCTTACATGCAATTAAAGGTGCAGTTTAAAGAACTGGGGAAATTAAATAGCCCTTTTGATAAATGCTTAAAACTAGATGAGCCATAATGCTTGCGTGCTTAAACTGACAATGAAATGATAGCGCAGATGGAGGGTAAGAAGTCAACCTGTCTAAACGACAGCTTAACACCTTAAATCACAGCAGGCCAAAATCTTCTCAGAGATGTTTTTAAATGTATCTGCTTTAAACCTTTCTATAAACCTTTCTTTTGACATTTACATAAATAAACAATGCAATATTTATCTATCTATAGAAAAATTTGTTGTAAATCCTTTTGACTGTTTATGACACATTTTTTAATTGTTTATTGATTGTTTATATATAATTTACAATTATATATTTTATTAGGTCTAAAAATAAAAGCGCACCGAGTAATTTTCAATTATATATGCCTTAAATAAACATCTATAAATACATTAATAAAATTTGCTTTGCTAACAGACAATTCCTGTGCACCCTTTTGTTTATTATATATTGTTTTAATATAAAATATAATATATAGCTGACAATTAGTCTGTGCATCCTTTTAAT